GATAAAGTGTACATTAAAATATAATTAAAATTAAGTAAATCAAAACAAATAATAAAAATAGTACAATTGAAGTTTTGAATGGAAGGGACAACTTTGAAGGGTCTAATCAAGCAAAGCGGCAACGCATGCAGGACAATGCAAAAGTAGCAAAACCAGCCACAAATATAAAGTGAATAATGATACGGAGGCCGATTTATATGAGAAAAAATTATGGGACCACTTACGTGGCTGCCACGTAATATAGATGTCCGACCTCACCTCAAATAAATCATTGAAAATTTTGACTTTTTTGATAGTCGTCGGTTTAATCAATGTAAATTGTGAAGTAGTTCTTCTCTCAATATTAAATACAGTAAAAAAAAAAGAGGAAAGAGTAGGTCCACAAAAAAAAGTAGGGTCCATATACTATTTGAAGTAGGGTTAGATGTCTGTATACGTGGCAGCCACATAAGTGATCCCATAATTTCGTTTCACATAAATCAATCGACCTCCTTATCATTATTCATATAAAGTTCTACGGATAAAGATTTTGTTATTGTGTAAATTAAAATATAATTAAAATTAAGTAAATCAAAACAAATAATAAAAATAGTACAATTGAAGTTTTGAAGGGAAGGGACAACTTTGGAAGGTCTAATCAAGCAAAGCGGCAACGCATGCACCGACAATGCAAAAGTAGCAAAACCAGCCACAAATATAAAGTTCTACAGATAAAGATTTTGTTATTGTTACTGAATTGGAGTTTTCAATGGTACGGACAACTTTGGAGGGTCTAATCAGGCAACTGCAACGCACGCACCGACAATGCGAAACTAGTCACAAATATAGAGTTCCGGATATAAAGATGTTTTTATTTTTATTTTTTTGGTAGAAAAAGGAGATATATTGATAATTAGCTGGCTACAATCGTTCTCGGGAAGGAAGTCCCAATTAAGTCATGATACAAAATGGAAGAAAGCCCAGGCGGACTTTCCTCATACCAGACAAAATCATTAGCATTAGTAGATCCAAGTTTAGCAAGAAAATCAGTAGCCGCATTAGCTTCCCTATATATATGGGAGATCCTAGCATCCGTAAAGAGGCGTAGAAGCAATCTACAATAAGAAATAAGAGTTCCAAGTGAGTGCAAAGTAGTATAAGTAGAGTCAATAAGTAAAACAACAACTTTTGAGTCAGTTTCCACAATAAGTTTAGAGATTCCTTTCCCAGCAGCAATTTCCAAGCCATCTCTAATGGCCCATAATTCTGCAGCAATACTTGTAGTCCATCCAATGCTTCGTGAGAAGCCAACCATCCATCTGCCAAGATGGTCACATAGCGAGCCTCCTGCCCCAGCTATACCAGGATTAGTAAGGGCAAAGCCATATGTATTTAATTTAGCAAAACCTGGAGAGGGAGGTGACCAGCCCACAAAAACAATGGTTTTAGGTTGAAAGGTAGTAAGAGCAGGTTGAAGTCTAATGAATTCCTATGCTATATCCAGAGTAGAACATTTCAGATCAAAAATAGAGATATGTTTGTTATCATGCACAAGCTAATTTCTAGAATACCAGATGGACCAAACAACATATGAAAAAATAGTAGGCCAAGTGGAAGATGATGGAGGAGAATTATGTACACCGACATTGACCTTAATCCAGCTCTTGAAATCAAGATTTTGATTGTATGTTGAAATGGATTGAGGAATAATAGAGTTCCAAAAAATGGCAGCATGCTGGCATTCTCTAAAAATATGAGTAAGAGTTTCAGGACCATTTCTACATCTAGGGCACCTATTATCAGAAACCACACCCCATTGAGCAAGAGTATCAAAGGTGAGGATTCTACCATGCATAACAAGCCATAGAAAGTATTTAATTTTGGGAATGGTACAAACATTCCAGATCCAAGACCAATCCTCCATCTGCGTCCACTGAATATTTTTTGCCATAAAGTATGTAGATTTCATGGAAAATTTGCCATTGGCCAAAGAATTCCACCTAAAGGAGTCTTGCTCAGCACTATGCCTCTGAAAAGCAATGGCCACAATTTTTTGGATGATGTCCTGAGGTAAAGGATAAGCAACAGCATCAAAATTCCATTTACCATCAGGAAAAAGAAGATCCTTCACATTAATGTCCAAATCATGTGGTCTAAAAGGGCCATAAAAAACAGAACAAAGAGATTCCTTTAGAATCCATCTATCCTGCCAGAAATTGATTTTGGAGCCATCACGTGGAACCCAGCTGATGCCTTTTTCAACAATATCTTTCCCTTTAGAGATGTCTTTGCAAATGGGGGAGGATGATTGAGAAAAATTATGGTAGGGAGGGTCAATCTTATATTTGGATATGAATGCTTTGGCCCAAGGTTTTTGAACTTCAGTAATCATCCTCCAGTGAAGTTTGGCCATGGCAGCTTGGTTTACTTCACTGCTAGCTCTAATGCCAATGCCCCCAGCTTTCCTAGGTTGAGTAATCCTATCCCAGGAAATAAGATTGGCTTTCCTCTTGGTTGAAGTAGAACCCCAAATGAAATTTCGAGAGATGGTATCAAGCTCCTTATGAATAGATGCAGGAAAAAACATACCCTGCATATAGTAATTAGGAATTGAAGAGAGGACAGATGTGACGAAAGTAACTCTTCCAACAAGTGAGAGCATATTTGCTTTCCACCTCGCAAGTTTAGATCTGACCTTGTCAACAATAAAATTACAGTCAGATTTTTCGATCCTCCTAGAGGTAATAGGGAAGCCAAGATATTTTCCCAAAGAGGGAGTTTCCATATAACCAAGAGTATGACATATAGCAAGCCTGATATCAAGATTAACATTTGCAGAGAAAAGGATTTTAGATTTCTCTTGATTGATGTTCTAACCTAAGCGAGTACAAAAGAAATCAAGTAATCCCTTAAGAAATAAAGAATTGGAAATCGTAGCTTTGCCAATGAGAATAAGATCATCTGCAAAAAATAAATGAGAGAAATAGGGACTAGATTTGCCCAATTTAGAGCCTCTCCAAATGCCAACATCAGTACTGTGATGAAGCTTTAAAGAGAGATATTCCAAACAAACTATAAACAGATAAGGTGAGAGAGGGTCCCCTTGCCTTAGACCTCGAGTAGGTTTAAAGGAATCAGTAACACTTCCATTAATAACGCAAGAGAAAGAAGCTGAAGAAATACAAAACATAATAACCTTGATCAACAAAGGAGGAAAATTGAAGAATATAAGAGTTTCCCTAATGAAACTCCACTCAAAGCGATCATATGCTTTCTCCGAGTCCAACTTAATAATCATGCACCCTGTCTCCCTTTTCTTGTTTTAAAAGAAAAGACAAAATCCTGGAGAAGGGTGACATTGTCAATACCATTACGCCTAAGAATAAAGCTGGATTGCATTGGAGAAATCAATTCTCCAATAAGATTCTTAAGGCGGAAGACAATAATTTTTGTGACAATCTTATAAGAGGTGTTGCAAAGGGCAATAGGTCTAAAATGAGAAACAGAGTCAGGCTTATTGTTTTTAGGGATGAGAGTAATCAAGCTAGCGCTCCAAGACTCAAGTATAATGCCAGAGTTAAAGATATCCCTAATCTCCAAACAAATTTTTTCCTTAAGAATAAGCCAGTATTTTTGAAAAAAAGTTGAATGTAGTCCATCAGGACCAGGTGCCTTAAAAGGCTTCATAGCAAAAAGAGCATGTTTAATCTCAAACTCTGAGGGAAGGTCAATCAATGCATGCCAATAAGAAGGATCAATAAAGGGGGCACTTTGAACACTACTATAAGAGGTATGGGAGGATTTAAGAAGAGAAATCCTGTAGAGACTCTTAAAATATGAGGTAATAATACTTTCAATGACAGTAGCATCAATAATCCAAGAACCAGTATCATCTTTGAGTCCTAAAATACGATTGTATGATCTGCCTTTCAAAGCAGACACATGAAAAAAATTTTTATTTCTGTCACCATTTTGGATCCATTGGAGTTGAGATTTCATGAACCACATGTCTTCCCCATACTTGAGAATATCCTGATATTCTTTAGAAAGAGTTTTTTCCAGATCTATGAGAAAGGAGCTGTTCTTGGATTGAAGGGCTTGTTGAATACCTCCTAGTCACGCAATGAGTTTCTTCTTCTTTTTATGAAGGTTATCAAAAGTAGCTCTACTCCAGAGCTTAACATTGTTTTGAAAAGCAATGGAGCAATCAGAGATAGATAGATTAGGAGAAGTCCAATTTTAGGCCACAAGATCTTTAAAAGACTCATGTTCAAGCCAAAATTTCTCAAGTCTAAAAGGCTTCTTGTTTGAGCAGGGAAACGATTGCTCAAGTGAAAGTAATATAGGGCAATGATCAGAATAAACACGAGGAAGATGAATCAGAGTAGCCTCGGGAAAAAGGATCTTCCAAGCAGGATTAGCCCAGGCTTTATCAAGCCTCTCTCTAATGAGATGATGATTGTCTCTTTTGTTGACCCAAGTAAATTTCGAACCAATAAAACCAATATCTAGTAAGTCACAGGAATTCATGCATTTAGTGTAGGCACGAATATGATATTGGGGGATAGGATTGCCACCAAATTTTTCATTCTGAGCAATAACATCATTAAAGTCCCCAATAACTACCCATGGACCATTGATAGATTGGGAAAATTGTTTTAAGTTTTCCCAAAAGAGAAACCTAATCTCAAACTGAGGACGACCATAGACAACAGATAAAAACCAATGAAAATTAGAAAAGGAAGGATGGGATTTTACCAGGACATTGGCATGGATGGCTTGTGGTCCTACATTAAGAATGTCTATAGTGTACTTCGTGTCATCCCACATTAGCCAAATACCCCCAGCAAAGCCATCTGAGTCGACTATGACATTTTTTGGAAATCTCAGAGCTTCAGTAGCTTTTTTAGCTCTTTCTCCTACCAACTTCGTTCCATAATAACAAGGATACCTGGATTATGCTGATTAATGATATCCATCGCATTCCGCTTAAACTCTTGATTAGCCGCCCTGCGACAGTTCCATGACATGATCTCCATGGTTTAGGTATGTCTACTGAAGGTGGTCATAACCCACCTGGCAAGATCCTGGAGCCACTTCGGCTGACCTTCCTTACTCAGAACCACCATATTGACTCTAGGGAAGTAGTAAGGCAGCACAATCTACTGGTATTGAAGCATAGAGTTCTACACTTCCTCCTTCGTGACCACCAGATGCACTATCTTCATGCATCCTATCATCTTGAATAGATAAAGGTAAGGTTGTTCTAACAGCAACATGAATCGCTTGGGAGCTATCAGCTCTGACCAATCGTCCCATCTCACTATCTCTGCTAGTGATGACCAAACAGCCTTCTGAAGGATGCATGAGTCTAGAGATAGGTGTTCCAAAGGTAAAGGAATCCCTTCCATTGGTGGGGGAAGAAAATGAGTGGGATCTACTCCTTTCATTGTAAGAATGGGATTCAGCCAGCAGTTCTGGATCGTTTCCAATGTCCATCCCTTAATCGACTTCAGATTCTTGTTGAGAACTAATGACAACGCCTTCTCTATTGGGATTGCTTGATTGTTCCTGTTGATTAGCAGTACATCCCACAAGTGACTTAGCTTGGTGAAGGTGATTGCATCCATGATCCGAAGTTCTAGTGGAGGGGGTTGATTTCGTGAGAGGATGATTCTGGACATTTTGTGAGATTTTCTATTGGGAACCAGATTTTTTAAAAGAGGAAGCCTTTCCACGTGCCACAAATGGTGACAATGAAATCCTATCTGAAACAATAGCTTTATCAGCTATAGTCTTTGTGCGGACCTGCAAAGAAACATTGGGTCCATTAGAGCTAGGTGAAGTGATAATTGAACCCATAGTTACCTAATTGGCCTGGCCAGTATTACGATGGGCTGGTGTGTTGTTGACATCCCCATCTTGGGCCAAAGGAGAAGAGCTCGAATTATGAGCTTTAGAAATTGAGTTAGAAGGTTGAATGGCTGCATTTGAACCGTTGGAGTTAACAGTCACCACATTAATAGCAATGTTAAAAATAACGTTCCCTTTTGAGTTTGGTACTTGTGACCCATTTCTTGTCCCAGTGAGTCGACTCGCTGAGTGACTCAAGTGATTACTGTTTACCTTTTTCTTGTTCTTTCGCCTTTCCACCAGCATCCATGGTCCAAACCCTTGGTTCTCAGGTGGCTCATTACAGTTTCCATCAACTGAAGCTTGTGAAGTTTGAGCTTCAATATTTTGTTCATTAGAAATAGCCATAGGTTGTGGGACTTTGAGAGGGCAATTATCCTCTTTATATCCCACACACCCACAAGAGTAGCATAAAGCAGCAGGTCCCTCATAAAGAACCTTTTGGACATGTTTGCCAATACATACAAAAGGTACCAAAGGTTCATCAAGATCGACTTGTACACAGATTCTTGCATATTAGCCTCTTGATTGGTGGGCAGTATGAGCATCTAGCCGAAGCGGAGTACCCAACATATTGCCAATACGCTCAAGGATTTGTACATCATAGTATTCAATAGGAAGGCGCGGAAGTCTAGCCCATATAGCTGTGATCGTGAAGGTGGCTTTTGCTGGATCAAATGAAGGCTCCCACTTTCTAATTGTGAGAAAGTGGGGACCGACAAACCAAGGTCCTCCATGAAGAACACGGTTCAGATCTTCCTTCTCATGGAAACGAATAAGAAAGAAGTCCAAACCCAAATCAATGCAATCCATTTTGCCTCTCGGTTTCCACTGAGCTTTGATCCTGGGAAGGATGAAGTTATAGCCAGCTCTTTCTATGCCAAAGGCTTTTATAATTATGGAATTGAACCATGACATTCAAATCCTTCTCTTTTCTACTTTCGAGATGAGTATAGTAGGGATAGACCCATCATCTTCATGATCTGAATCTTTGTCCAGAATTTCCTCTCTATTTGAGCTATCACAGAGGATTGCAGCAGGTTCCAGACAAGAGACCATGTCTATGTATGATAATTGCTTTGGTGGGGCTTCATATAGTTGATATTCCTCAGCAATAGGGGGGTTACCATCCCCTTTAATACGTTTGACGGAGCGAATTAAGAGATCGGCCTCTTGAGGATTAGGAGTTTGGTTTGCTGTATCAGACATGAATTCAAGAGAGAAGGCATAGCAAGAAAGCTAGTAAAGATGTTGTTATTGTTACTGCTGTCGGTATTGGAGAAAATGAGAAAACTTAGACTTTAATTTTAAAATTTAAAGATTAATCGATCATTCTGTTAATGTTTTAATGCTATAGAGAAAATGAAAAAGTTAGTCGACTTTAAATTTCTAATTTTGAAATTTTATCTGAAAAATTAGAAATATTTTATCTTACTAATTAAAATTTTTTAATTACCGTTAATAAAACCATACAAATTCACTTTCTAAAATTGTTTAAGATCACATAATCTCATAATCTTATGATTTTTTACACCATATTTTATTGATTTTTTAATATCCAAGATTTTTTTATTTGATTTAAATTGTTTAGGGCACTTAACAATGTAAAATAATGCGATCCTATGATTAAAATCGAGATTTTAACAACCATAGCTGTAGGCCCAGTAACCTTTCTTTTTTTTTTTTGTTATTTTTTTTTTTCAAAAATCAAATCAATAAAATACAAGAGGTATTCTAAATTCATTACATAAACTCCTAATCTTCTTAAGAAATAAAGTAGGAGGGTACTCCAAACCCATTATATAAGCTCTTAATCTTCTTAAGGATTCAAATTCCACACAAATAGAAGCGTTTAGCGATAAGCTCTGTGAGAAATCAGCTATCAATTTCCTTCCTCTTTTATTCTACTACGTATCTCCCACTTGCTCAAGCCTATCTCTCTTCGCCTCGTGCTACAATTTATCTTCAAACAAGCCATC